AAGAAAGATGAAGTAGTAACTGAAAAATTGAGTGACTACATCGGCAAGTGCGAGGTCCCGGGAACAGTGTCTGTATTGTAACGATTTGATCAACTACGGTTCTCAGACCCCGGCTACTTTACTTTCAGCTGAAAATCTCATTTTCATCCCTGTGTTTCACTCCTCAAACCATGCTACTAAGCAGCATAGAACGCTTTGGCTGTGGAACATAAACACCTGTATGACTATGCTGAAACAGAAAAGGAGCCGATGTGAAGTGATTTAAGTTAGTTTGAATAAATATGATTTTATTTTTACATCACAAATGTAGCAATGCAAAGCCAATAGAACACAGTGAATAATTTTCTATCGTAATAAAAAGAGCACTGCTCCCTTGTACATAGAGCATACAGTGTAATGGGACAAGAAGCAAGTAAGTAAATCAAATTTTTAGTGTCACACTATAGTATGAGTAATACAAATTTTTTAAAAATTCGTTGGGTATGGCTTGACAAGGAAGTGACTTTGACGTGCGAATCGGGAAGAAAGATGAAGTGGTAACTAAAAAATTGAGTGACTTCATCGGCAAGTGTGATCAACTACGGTTCTCAGACCCTGACTACTTTACTTTCATCTGAAAATTAAAATTCCCTTAATTAGTTACATAGTTAAAATCTCTTAATTGTGAGCAACTTGGTCCAAAATTAAATCAAGTCATGGCATCCATGAGTTTTAATGAAAACATATTGTCTTCAGTACAATATCCCATCATGCATTGCTGGTACAATTCTGCTTCGGGTATGCACTAAACACAACTTACCTAAGAAATATTTATTATTTGATATTCACAGGCTTCAAATTTGGCCAGCAAAACATACCAGGGGTTAGTACCACCTTTTTGGTCATTATAAACATTCACACTCAATCAAGTCTGTCAGAAATTTAACCACAGCTTTCATTTCACTATCAAACAATGATGGTGCTCTGAAGTACACACGAGACAAGTCATTTTAATCTATCACATTCTTGAATGTGAATAAAATAACACAAGAAAATCAGACAAATCATTTATTATCATAAAATATTTTTCTAGAAATTCATTTAAAAATCAAATCTAAAGCTATAGTATGTTTGCTGGATTAGCTTGAGAAGTTATTGTAAGTCATGAATATGATCTGTGATGTGTCTTATTTCCTCTTTATTTGAACTTGAAATGTTTTAATCTGCATCGGATTCAATGTCACCAATAAATCACCTTGTATATGAGAGGAGTCTTTTACTACAGAACCTGAAATTAGAAATAAAAACAAAAATTTTGAAATGCTGAATGAAATCAACCAGTGTAGCACAATGATTGTCCTGCCCAGCTGGTCCACATGGCAGTATAGCTTTCCCTTTATAAACATGGGCATGCATGTAATTATATATAGGGCAAACAATTTTAATCAGGAAAACGATTCCTATGTGGTAATATATTCAGGTAAAAAATATTTCCACCAATTACTGTGATCTTTTTTCTGTCTGGTGAGCTTAAGTGGAAAATTGGTACAAAATAGAATTATTAAAATCAACTTCTGTTTACTGTCACAATTGAAAAGGTAAAAAATAAATTCTTATTTTACCATTTGCAGTGGACTTGCTTAAAAGTTGTATTGTTTTTTTTTTAAATACAAAAAAACACCATGAGATGACTAAAATACAAAATAGTGTGGTTTTTGTGAAAATTATTTCTTGTTATGCTATTTTCTAGGCAAAAAAACAAACAAATGTAAACAATCTGTTTTACACATGTTATGTACATTGCTATGAGTCCCATATTGAACAGGATTTATTTAATTGCTGCATTTTTTTGTTTGAAAATTAAAAAAAACTTCTAAGCAAAATCAGTGAAAAGTTAGCAGTATCATCCTGCTGTTAAGACAGACAATTTAGGTAAGCCCTATGATTGATGGTACCAGTACCTGGTGTTTTGAATCCATTGTCTAGTTTCCATGACAACCTGCTCTCTTTATCTTTTGATAGATTACCATCCAAAGTTGTCTCTTGAACTCTGATAATATCAAATTTTTTGAACAGATTCTGGAAAGAAATTATTAAAAATTTAATTCTTGATTGTGGTTGTTGGTAATTAATCCTGTTAATTTGTTGCTATTAGCAACTTACTG